GTCCTTGGTCTCCTCGGTCGCTGAGGGGTCCTTGTCTCCCCGGTCGAGGAGGTCCGTGGTCTCCTCCGGTCCCGCTGAGGAGGTCCTATGTCTCCTCCGGTCTGCTGAGGAGGTCTTTTGGTCTCCTCCAGCCCGCTAGGAGGTCCTTGGTTCTCCTCCGGTCTGCTGAACGAGGTCCCTTGGTCTCCTCCGTCCTGAGGAGGTCCTTGTGGGCTCCTGCCGTCCCGCTAGAGGTCCTTTGGGTCTCCTCCGGTCCGCTGAGGAGGTCCTTGGTCTCCTCGGTCTGCTCCTCCTCCGGTCCGCTGAGGAGGTCCTTGGTCTCTCCGGTCGTGAGGAGGTCCTTGTCTCCTCCGGTCCGCCGAGGAGGTCCTTGGTCTCCTCCGGTCCGCTGAGGAGGTCCTTGTCTTCCTCGGTCCGGGAGGTCCTTGGTCTCCTCCGGTCCGCGAGGAGGTCCTTGGTCTCCTCCGTCCGCTGAGGAGGTCCTTGGTCTCCTCCGGTCCGCTGAGGAGGTCCTTGGTCTCCTCCCGTCCGCTGAGGAGGTCTTTTGTCTCCTCCGGTCCGCTGAGGAGGTCCGTGGTCTCCTCCGGTCCCGAGGAGGTTCCTTCGGTCTCCTCCGGTCCGCTGAGGAGGTCCTTGGTCTTCCTCGGTCGCTGAGGAGGTCTTGGTCTCCGGTCCGTCCGCTGAGGAGGTCCTTTTCTCCTGGTCGTGAGGTCCTTGGTCTCCTCCGGGTCGCTGAGGAGGTTCCTTGGTCTCCTCGGTCCGCTGGAGGAGGTCCGTGGTCTCCTTCGGTCCGCCGAGGAGGTCCTTGGTCTTCTCCGGTCCGCTGAGGAGGTCCTTGGTCTCTCCCGGTCCGCCGAGGAGGTCCTTGTCTCCTCCGCGTCCGCTGAGAGGTCCTTGGTCTCCTCCCGTCGCTGAGGAGGTCTTTGGTCTCCTCCGTATCTGCCGACGAGGTCCTTGTCTCCTCCGGTCGCTTGAGGAGGTCCTTGGTCTCCTCCCGTCCGCTGAGGAGGTCTTGTCCTTTGGGAGGTTTGGTCTCCTCCGGTCCGCTGAGGAGGTCCTGGTCCCTCCGTACGTGAGGAGGTCCTGGTCTCCTCCCGTCCGCTGAGAGGTCTTTGGTCTCCTCCGGTTGCCGACGAGTCCTTGGTCTCCTCCGGTCGGGCTGAGGAGGTCCTTGTCTCCTACGGTCCGCTGAGGAGGTCCAGTGTCTCCCTTCCGGGTCCCGAGGAGGTCCTTCTCTCCTCCGTCGGCTGAGAGGTCCTTGCTCCTCCGGTCCGCTGAGGAGGTCCTTGGTCTCCTCCGTCCGCTTGAGGAGGTCTTGGTCCTCCTCACGTCGCTGAGAGGTCCTTGGTCTCCTCCGGTCCGCTGAGAGGTCCTTGGTCTCCTCCGGTCCGCTGAGGACGGTCCTTGGTCTCCTCCGGTCCGCTGAGGAGGTCCTTGGTCTCCTCCGTGCGGCTGAGGAGGTCCTTGGTCTCCTCCGGTCCGCTGAGGAGGTCCTTGGTCTCTCCGGTCCGCTGAGGAAGGTCGTCCCCTTGGTCTCCTCCGGAATCGTGAGAGGTCCTTGGTCTCCTCCGGTCGGCTGAGGAGGTCCTTGAGGTCCTCCGGTCGGCTCCTGGGTCTCCTTCCGGTCTGAGGAGGTCCTTGTCTCCTCCGCGTCCGCCGAGGTCCTTGGTCTCTCTGGTCAGCTGAGGAGGTCCTTGGTCTCCTCCGGTCCGCTGAGGAGGTCCGTGTCTCTTTCGGTCCCCGACGAGGTCCTTGGTGTCCTCCGGTCCGCTGAGGAGGTCCTTGGTCTCCTCCGGTCCGCTGAGGAGGTCCTTGGGTCTCCTCCCGTCCGCTGGGGAGGTCTTTGGTCTCCTCCGTCTTGCGACGAGGTCCTTGTCTCCTCCGGTCGGCTGAGGAGGTCCTTGGTCTCCTCCGGTCCGCTGAGGAGGTCCGTGGTCTCCTTCGGTCCGCCGAGGAGGTCCTTGGTCTCCTCCGTCGCTGAGGAGGGTCTCTTGGTCTCCTCCGGTTGGCTGAGGAGGTCCTTGTCTCCTCCGCGTCGCTGAGGAGGTCCTTGGTCTCTCCGGTCCCTGAGGAGGGGCTCCTTCGGCTGTCCGTGTCTCTTCCGGTCCGCTGAGGAGGTCCGTGGTCTCCTTCGGTCCGCCGAGGAGGTCCTTGGTCTCCTCCGGCTCCGTCCTGAGGAGGTCCTTGGTCTCCTCCGGTCGCTGAGGAGGTCCTTGGTCTCTCCGCGTCCGCTGAGAGTCCTTGGTCTCCTCCGGTCGCTGAGGAGGTCCTTGGTCTCCTCCGGTCCGCTGAGGAGGTCCTTGGTCTCCTCACGGTCGCTGAGAAGGTCCGGCCCGCTGAGGAGGCCTCCTGGTCTCCTTCGGTCCGCTGAGGAGGTCGTGGTCTCCTCCGATCCGCCGAGGAGGTCCTTGGTCTCTCCGGTCCGCTGAGGAGTCTTGGTCTCCTCCGGTCGCTGAGGAGTCCTTGGTCTCCTTCGGTCCACTAAGGAGGTCCTTGTTCT